ACATTGGAAGACAACCATCTGGGAATAAGTGACATGGATTTGGATCCAGATTCTTTTCTTTAGAAAATGAATAATTTGGGGCAAGTCACATAACTTCTCATAGTGTGTTTTTTCATCGATATAATGAGATGATGACACTTGCTTTTTGACAGCAGCTTTTGCGTCAGGTGGACCTACCTTTGAATCCAGGCTCTGCCACTCACTAGCTATGTGACCTTTCGGGCAAATTACTTCACCATGTTAGCCTTGGTTTTCTCACATAAAATTACGTTAATTACTTCGCTGGGATGAATTATGCAAACCCTTAGTACAGAGACTGGCCTACAGCAAATAACTAACAGAGAGAATAGAGCTGGTAGCACAAGAGGCAGTAGTAGTAGTAGTACTAGTGGTGAGAATAAAATGGAATAAGGTCTGTGAAATGTTTTGAAAAGTGCTTTGCAAGTATTTGCCATTACACCCATAAACCAATGTGCCATATAAGCACGAATTCTATGAGAAAACTTACGTATCACAATGGATATTTCTTGCCCGACAAAAAGTATAAAATAGGCTAGAGAGATATTAGAGTCAATGTCAGGAAAATTGTGTTAACATTTCAATTAAAAGTTTCCCTCATTATTTATTCTTTCAACAAAAGTCCACCTGCAATTTGCTGTTGGGAAAGCATTTTGCAAATTACTTTGAAGACTACCTATGTGACTAAAATGCAATTCCTGGCTAACTTTCTGTTCTAGGCAGTTAATGTATCTCATTTAATACTCAACATCTTAGTGACATTGATGATATAAACTCCATTTTACAGATGAAAAAATAGGTTCATGGGGTCACAAAGTTGGGAAGAGGCAGACTAGGACTCAAGTCTCCCAGTTTATGCTCTTTGCACTACATTGTGCACAAGCTCATCACAGAGCAGGCTTTGCCTCTGTGTGTGTGTTAACATGCTGACACCATGACCGTGGCATATACAGACCTCGGAACAGGAGTCATGGAGTGATTGTTTTCTATGCCATTTTGATCTATTTATTTATTTTAGTTCATTGCCCTCCCTAGCATTGTAGGTAGATCACTATCTCTCGTTGTTAATGTGTTGTAGAGGAGGAAACCAAGACTAGAGGGGGAAAAGTTAGTTAAGCCAGTGAGTGACGGTAGAAGATAGTTCACTTAAAAAGATTGATTAAACTTTAAAGGCAGCTTGCCAAAGTTAACTCAACATGCCAGTTGGGGATGTAACAGCATTTAATCAGATAGAGAATACAGAGCATAGAATGTGGGCTCTGTTTCCTAAGCAGTAGATCACATTGTTGCTGCTTGGTTGTGAAATCTTTTCTAAATTATGCAGGCAAGAATCGTGGAGCTTGCAGGTATGCTTACTAGAACTGTGCTCATTTTGTGTTTTCCTAGACAGGGAAGCTGCAGCTGTATGACTTGGCCTCAGGGAATCTGCTGGAGACAATAGATGCACATGATGGAGCTTTATGGTCCATGTCTCTCTCTCCAGATCAGGTAACTAAATCTGAGTTAAACCTCTGGACTTCAGCGCTCTGGCTACATTTGCCAATTCTTGTATCAAGTTTTACTGCTGCTAAGAAAGCCTTCTCTCAGGGTTTCTTTAAAGAAAGCCTATTTTTTTGTCTAATTTTTAGATTCCACATATGATGCCTTCTCATATATACCTGGTACTATGAATAGCTTTCATTATGAAATGAATTCTTGTTCAGCTGCTCTTGGTTATCAGCAACATGACATCAGATTGCTTACTCAGGATTTTTTTATCAGTGGTTTGTGATACTTCTTAAGGGGGAATGTTCTTTTGGGCAACACAATGCAGAGAGTAGAGTAGACTTTTCTGTTCTCCTTTTTGTCCAAACATCATGATGATATAAGTCTAGTATTTTAAGCAAATATATCAGCCCTTACAAGTCAATAAATGTGTGCTTTCCTTCAAAGGAGTCACCATGGAGAACTGTATACTTATTCTAGTAATGATGCTGTTGATCAGACATTTTGAGATTTTTTTTTTTTGACAATACCTTAAGAAATTTTTGTCCATTTGAATATTCTCAATGGTGGAAAATTTTTACTTGTTGAAAGCAGATCTTAGTTTTGGAAAAAACTAACTCTGGAGTGTAGAGTGGTTAATGCCATTTGGGATCCAAACAAAACAGCTGTGATTTTAAGATAATATAACATCATGTATTTGTAGAGTGTTCTGTCCTTTTCATAAACTACGTGGTCTTTTATCTCAGCAAAACTAAGGATCATAGAAAGGCTGTTTCTAGTGTTATGAATCTATGAGATGGCAGAATAGACACCTGAGATACAGTTTTCTGATGTTGGAAAACAGTTTCAAAATGTTTTAAGCTGGGCCGGGCGCGGTGGCTCATGCCTGTAATCCCAGCACTCTGGGAGGCCAAGGCAGGCGGATTATT